CAGAAGATGAAGGTTGTCCCTGAACCAGGAACTAGGCCCAGACCAGACACCAAATTTGCCAGGGCCTTGATCCTGGAAGCGCCGGTCTCCAGAACTGCTAAATTTCTGTTATTTATAAGCCACCCAGTCTATGGCATGCTGTTATAGAAACTCAAAAGGACTAACACATATATATATGAAAATAAATAGCCTAGTTTTCTTAACCACCTCAATCTAGGAGTATTACAGTTTTACCAAATTTGGATTATTTGGATTAATTATTCAATCCAAATAACCGAATGTAGCTTTTTTTTTTTTTTTGCACAGAAAGGATAGCAAGTGATATATCCTGAAATAACCAAGTTGCTGTACCCTTCTACCCTAAAACTAAAAACAAGTGAATGTAGACTTTCTTAGTTCCTTACTCAACTACACACCAAACAAGTTCAGGCTCGGTGACACTTGCTTGGCTTGTAGCTAATAGTGCTGGTAGATGTATTAGGGGGATGCAGAAACTCCTTTACTCAAGATCTGCACATTTCTAGTTGGCCCTCAATGCTTATTTGACAATAAAAGAAAACAGCAATAATAGTTACAATAGCTACCTCTTCCGGAAACTATTTTTCCAGAATCTGTGTTAAATATTACATATGCGTAATCTTATTTTTTCATTTAATTCGTAAAATGGCCTTATGAGGTAAACTATTATAAGCATGTCTGTTTAACAGATAAGGAACCAGATTGTTCAAGCCGGATCCAATTATAATAGGAAGTAAGTAGCCAAGTTGAGCACTGACCTTCTGCATTCTTACATCATACCTGCCATAGTACAACCAAGTTCAAACTTTGATTAACATTAATCCACCTCCCAAGAATATTCATTCTATTCCTTTATATCCATTAACAGTTTATACTATACAAAAAAGCTCTGTTCAAGATAAATAATTTATTAAGATAAATACTCCAATAAAAATCTAAATGAAGTACTGTGGAACTCTGAAGAAGGAGTGTTAAACCCTGCATATAAACTCATACAGGTAAATTACATTATGGGAAGAAAAATAACCAATCATTCAGATTTGCAGAGGCTCTATGCACTGGCTTCCCACCATTCTGTATGTCTTGGCTAACATCCATCAACCAGCTAGTACCATCCCTAATCAACAACTTAGTAGATTATGCCTGTGTTGACATTTTTGTTCAAGCCAAGTGGTCTGTTTGCTCAGTTGATCACTATGTGCTCATTAGGAGTTCTTAGCCCATCAAAATCATATTTGATGAGCCTGGCAAAGTACTCAACTGTATTTGTGTTCTCTTTTGTTCTAATGCTAATCATTGAGAATTTTAGCCATCCTTCTGATGAACTGAAAGCCCCAATTTAGACATCCAAACAAACCAATCATTTGTGTGATGACTGATATCAGCACAAACACAATCTACCAATTTATAGATCACTGGTGGTCATTCTGATCTATAGTGCCAATAATACCTGTCACATAAGCTTAAAATTTCAATCATCTTTGCCTTTCTTCTCTTTTGGCCCATACATGCAATCAGCAACCAAGTCCTGTTTTCACTTTGAAATCTCTCTCTCTCTCTCTCTCCACCCCCCACCCCAACTCATTCATCTACTCCAATCCAGGTTTTTATTATATCTTGCTTGGTCTATTTTACAACCTCCTAACTTGTCTCTCTATCTCCTGTATCAGTCCCCTGAAATTTCCTATACACTACAGCTGAAGCAGTTGCCTTGATGGACATCACCATTCATGTACTTTCCATACTCAGAAAAATTTAAAGCTTCCTACTATCTATGGAAAAACAAAAACAAAAAAAAAAAACTTCAACATACTTAGCCAAGTATTCAAGGGCTCTCAGTGGCTGGCCTACTAGCAACCAGTTTTCTAAGCATTCTCAATAGACTCTCTGATACACTCTAAAAGGAAAGATCACCTTACATTAGAACTTGACTTAGTAAACAGATTTCCCTTGGGTGCATTAGAGCACTGGTTCTCAAACGTTAGTGTCTGTCAGAATCATGTGGAGGACTTGATAAAACACAGATGCTGGGGGTGGACTGCAGCAGTTTATCACTAAGCAGGTCTGGGGTGGAGTCTGAGAATCTGCAGTTCTTACAAGTTCTCAGGTGCTGTTGGTCCAAGGACCAATGGTTTAGATTAGAGTACCACAGACAATAGTAATATCAAACACATCAAGAGCTAAATGCATACTAATCGGTGAGGAACTCAAGTGAGCACCTTATACAAATGATCTTTTCTTGTCTTTTATGGTTTTCAATGTGGCTGGAGGCCGTATTTCCCTCCTAACTGTGGGCAGACACTAACAGTGAGTGTGCTTACTTGTGCTTTGGAATGTGTCATTCAGGATACTTCCAAGAATTACAGGCTGCCTTACGATGTTACTTAATCATACTGGCAGAATATAGACTATTAATATAATGTCCCTCTGGTGTCTTTTTGATAAAATGACTTTTTTCCCTTTGGGTAAACACCACGTAATAGGATTGCTGGGTCAAATGGTAGTTCTACTTTTAGTTTGTTGAGGAATCTCCATTCTACTTTCCACAGAGGTTGCACTAGGTCTGTGGTCCCATCAATAGTATATAAGTATTCCTATCTCTCAGCATCCACACCAGCATCTATTGTTTTGGGACATTTTGATAAAGCCATTCTCACTGGAGTAAGGTGATATCTCATTGTTGTTTTGATTTACATTTCTCTGATGATTAGTGATGTTGAGCATTTTTTCATGTTTATAGGTCGTTAGCATACCTTCTTTTGAAAAGCTTCTATTCATGTCTTTTGCCAACTTTTTAATAGAGTTGTTTGATTTTTGCTAGCTGATTTGCTTGAGTTCTTTGTAGATTCAGGTTATTACCCTTTAATGGATATGTAGCATGCAAATATTTTCTACCATTCTATAGGTTGTCTATTTGCTTTGTTGATTGTTTCCTTGGCTGTACAGAAGGTTTTTAATTTAATCAAGTCCCATTTATTTATTTTTGTTGTTGCTGTGATTTTGTCCTTGGGATCTTCTTCATAAATTCTTTGCCTAGAGCAGTATCTAGAAGAGTTTTTCCAACATTTTATTCTAGAATTCTTATGGTTCAATGTCTTAAATTTAAGTGTGTGATCCATTTTCAATTAATTTTTGTGAGTGGTGGGTGATATGAATCCTGTTTCAGTCTTCTACATATAGCTATCCAATTTTCCCAGCACCATTTAGTGAATAGGGCTTCTTTTCCCCAGTGTGTGCTGCTGTCTACTTTGTCGAAAATCAGATGGCAACATATCGATGATTTTATATCTGGGTTTTCTGTTCCATTCCATTGATCTATGTCTTTATTTTTGTGCTATGCTGTTTAAGTTACTATAGCCTTGTAGTAACTTTAGCAACCTTTAGTAAGTCTGCTAAAATGATGCCTCCCAATTTCTTCCTTTTGCTTAAGGCTGCTTTGGTTATTTGTGTTCCTTTCTGGTTGCAAACAAAACATAGAGTAATTTTTTGTAGATCTGCGATAAATGACTTTGGCATTTTGATGGAAATTGCATTTAATCTCAAAATTACTTTGGGTAGTGCATACATTTTCACAGTGTTGACTCTGCCAATTCATGAACATGATACGTTTATCCATTTGTTTACATCGTCTGTAAATTTCATCCTCAGTGATTCCTAGTTCTCTTTGTAGAGATCTTTTACCTCAGTTAAATATATTCCCAGATACTTTAGCTATTGTGAGAGATATTAAGTCTTTTATTTGATTCTCTGCTTGACTGTTGTTGGTGTATAGGAATGTTCCTGACTATGTACTATGTACATTGTATATGTGTACACTGTAACATATTGTGCACACTGATTTTGCAACTTGAGACTTTGCTGAATTTATTTATTTATTCCAGAGTTTCTTGGTAGAATCTTTGGGGTTTTCCAGATATAAGATCATATTATCAGCAAAGAGTGATAGTCTGACCTCTTCTTTCTCCATTTGGATACCCTTGATTTCCTTCCCTTGCCTGATTGCTCTAGCAAGGACTTCCAACACTATGTTGAATAGAAGTGGTGATAGTGAGCACCTTTGTCTTGTTCCAGTTCTGAGTAGGAATGCTTTCAATTTTTCCCTGTTCAGTATGTTGGTGGTGGGTTTGTTGTATATGGCTTTAATAATTTTGAGGTATGTTCCATCTATGCCTATTTTGTTAAGAGTTTTATCATAAAAGGATGCTGAATTGTGTCAAATGCTATAGTACTTCATTAAGTTTCCTCCTACTCATTGTGTGACTTATTTGTGATATATTCTGACTCACTTACTGTTTCCTATAGTTCCTATAGTACTCCATTAAGTCTTCTTCCCACTTCTTTTTTGCTTGAAAGAAACAGTACATGTGCAGAATACTTTGAGTCCTTTCATGAATCAAAATGCACATTTTCTCTGCAAATATGAGCAAACTGTGTTGCAGTTTGTTGTGTTACGAGGGTTGAAACTCTTTTCACTCAGGACTGTTGTACTGTCCACTAGCATTTTGTGTGGTAGATAGGAATTGGATTATAGTCAAATTCTCTTTTCCTTGTAGGTAACCTATTTTTTTCCTTCTGTTAATTTTTTCATGAGTTTTCTCTTTATACCTGGAATTCAAAAATTTTGCCATGATAGGCCTAAAGTTTTTATTTTCATTAATCTTCACCAGCCTTTAGTGAGTTCATTTAATGTGAAGGCTTTAAGAATTAGTTCAGCTTAAGGGAAATGGTAATCTATTATTTCTTCTCCATCCTCACATCTATTCTCTCTTTCTAAAACTCCTCTTATTAGCTATGAGATAAGCCCCAAGACCTATCCTACATGTCTCATCTTCTCTTTTATAAACTTTCTTTTTACTTGTAGTTATGCTAATTTTGCCAGCCTTCCAGTTAATTAATTTGGTTTCCAGTAGCATCCTTTCTGATATGTACTCTCCCTACCAACATGTGTACTTTTTTCCCCTCCCAATCTCCTTTTTTTTTTTCTTTAATTTTTAGTTTTCCTCTTTTTTGTGGTTGCTTTTGTTTGGTAAATGCAATATCCTCTTGAGTCTGACAGAACACTTCTATCAGTACATCATTACAGTTATCTCTTATATTCAGCTTTAAATTCTCTCTAAACATTTGTGGTTGTGGGCTTTGACAGGCCACATGACCAGCAGAATAGCAAGAGCATCTTTCTCCATTCCCTACGTTTGACAAATGCTATTGAGTCAATAGCAGGTCAGAACAGCTCACTAACATCTCTCTGCATGAGTGGTAGCCTTAGACACCCCTCAAGATTTCAGGCAGATAGATGGGGACCCTCATGGATCTTTCAGTTGTGGCACGTTGTTTTCCTTCTTAATTATTTGATGGGAGGTTGGAAAAGAAATAAAGGTCCAAGACAAAACCTGCTTAAATTGTCAGCCTTACCCCCAAAATTCTTTACATTGACAGGATTCTTTTATTTTTTAATTCAAGCATGTATACATGTATCCAATACATGAATATTCAAAAGGAGTATTTTTTCAGTACAATGAGCAAAACTCTGAACATAAAATACTTAACTCTCAAACAGATGGATATCTCATGTTGATAAACAATGAGTAATTCAAACACAAATCAAGCTGAAATCATAATGTGCTGAAATAAATATGATGCATATAGGAAAACTAAATATGTTAAATTATTTAGTTTTTTATTTAGTATTTTATTTTATTATAATTCATTTTTATTTAGTATTTTATTGTCATTCATAGATACACAAGATTTAGTCTGAAGCTCACATCCTCATTAAAGAATAAAAATTTTAAAAAATGTTTGTAATTGATACATTTTTACAAGATGCAAGACCAGTATCTGGTATACAAATGTCAGTAGATTAGCTTAATTTCAGGATAAAAACATTCCAACCAATCAATTTACATCCAAGAACTGAAACAAACTATCCCAGTCTCTACTACAAAGTGATTAATTAATTTAGTTGAACTCAGTAGTTCATCTGATTAAATGTGATGCATGCCTATCAAAACAGCAAGAAACAGGAATTCCTTGACTCTGATTAACATACACAAACCTCACAAATCACACCTTAACTATACTGATTCTTGGCATTTGATTCTTTTACTGCTTAACATATTTGTGTGTCTTCTGTCTTAATCATGACTTAGAGCAGTGGTCCCCAACCTTTTTGGCACCAGGGACCAGTTTCATGGAAGACAATTTTCATACAAACCTGAGGCAGGGTGGTGGCAACGGTGAGCAATGGGGAGCAGGTGTAAATACAGATGAAGCTTTGCTTGCTCACCTGTCACTCACCTTCTGCTGTGCAGCCGAGTTCCTAAGGGGTTTGTGTACTGCAAATAGAGTCCTCTTTTCACTTCTCACTTCTATCAGTCTTCTACCAGAATGTAGAACTCCTTTGTGCTTTGATTCCATCTGAAAAAATTCTAATCATGGATCCATCTTGCTCCAATATTAATGACATCTGGGGCTCAAGTTATAAGCAGAGTCACTCTTGACCCTTCTCTCTGCCTCTGTCGATGCACCCTGTCATACCCCAGGCTCATGCACTGCATGAGATCCAAGAGGGTGCAACTCTCAGATCTCTCTCCAATTCCACTGCCTACATCCTAGTACAGGCCACCCTCTGCCCTGAACAGATTTCTCTGCCTCTGTTCTTCTTTCCTCCACCCATTCTTCATGAAGTACTAAAACGATCTTTTAAAAAGATCTGGCTGTGACATTTTTTCCGCTTATCACTTTTCAGTAACCTTCGATTTTCTCATAATAGAGCCCCGAAAAGTTAACATGGCCTAAAAATCCATGATCTAGCCTCCTCTTCCTCTCCATCCTCATCCTCCAGCATCCATTTACTTCAGCAACAATGGCTTTCGACCCACTCCTAGAATTTCAATGCTTTCCCCTTCTTGCACCTCTTCAGACACTATCCCTTCCAAATGAAAGGCTTCCTGCACTGCCCCCTAACTTAGACCTATTTGTTCTACAGGGCTCTGTGATTGATACCCCTTTTTCACTCACTCATAGCCCTCGGGACTCATTTTAACCACTGAGCAAATCATAAAGAAACAAAAGCATGGTTAATTCTTTAGCTTCCATTCTCCCACCACAGAACATAAGCTCCAGGAAGAGAGGGATTATGTCTTCTTGTTTACCCTGTATCGTCGGGATCTAGCGAAGAGCCTTACACACAGAAGGAAGGTGCTTGCTCAATACGATACTGACTGAATTTGTGAACCAAATGCGAAGAATGAAAAGCAAGGAGTTGTGAACCTAACAAAACACACCCATATACTTTTGCTGAACCACCTAAGACACCCTCAACAAAGGACAAAAATGACAACAGATACCAAGTCCTTGCTGCGGAAGTATGACAGAACTTAAGAAATCCTTCACATAGTTTGAAAACATTGTCAGAGCTGTGTGATAAAATAAACATTGGCAGGTGATTAGGGTGATGAGTATGAGAGATACAGCAATAACAGTGAACTTACTGAGAACTTACCAGGTGTTAGAAGCTGTGTCATGCAGTTGATATGGAATCTATCATTTATTCCTCATCACAAATAGTGAGCAGTATTATAACCTTCATTTTAAAACTGTTGAAACTGGGACACAGAGAAGTTATCTGGGTTGTCTGAAGTCGCCGCAACATAATTATGAGATGTCCATCCAGGACACAAAGTCAGTTTTGAAGATTTGTTTGATCTTAAGCTCTAACTACTATACAATACTATCTCCTGATTTTGCCACCAGCATATATATGACCTTGGCCAAGAAGCATCTCCTACATAGTTCACAATTGCCCTTTCAGTAAAAGAATGGTTACAGTCCAAGTGACCGCCAAACTGCCTTCCACCTCTAACATTCAATAAAATGCATATTTATAGAGTCAAAGAAGGAACACAGTGAGGCTGACATTCAAAGATAAAAAATTTAAAATTACAATTTAGTAATATGTCCTTCCAACCCTACTTTAGCTTTTCCATAAACAAATTAGGTAGCTATGCGTTTGACTAGACTATTATCTCTGAAGCAATTTTATTAATACATACATAAGAAATTAGGAAGATGGAGGGGAAACACACGGCAAAGGAAAAGAAGAACCTGGGTGAGCTCTTGAGTTTAATAACAAGAAAAATGAAATAGCCATTTTCTAATTTTCAAATTAAATAACCAGCCAAGGCAAGTGGTCCAAGGTCAAACACAAATGAGGGCAAGGTTTGTCAAAGGATTAAACTAAATGTTAAAAAAAAAAAAAAAATTCAGCCTATGTCAAACTGACATTATTATTCAGACAAAAAAAAAAAAGATCATAGTGGAACAAACAGAATCCATTCAAACATAGCTTTAAAAATAAAATAGGGTATTGTTAATAGCTGCTTACAAATCTCATAGTCTACAAATCATATGTTAAAAAAAATGGCCCGTGTCACATAATACAATGCTGCAATAGTTCTCAGGGAAAGCAGTGAAGGAGAAATGCTTGACAGATAGAAATTCCTTTTAATATGAAAGCAACAGGGCAGGAAAACGGTATACCTTTCATGGAGGCCATGTCAAAGCCAACCTTCTGATGCCTTATGTATCCTTTCCCAGTGCTCTGAGACCCCTGCAATGCTTTCCCCAAAGCTCAGATAGAACTGGCTTATATCATCATGTGAAAAGACTGAAAAAGAGCCTGAGATAGGTCAGGACGAGATGAGACCATTTATGCTTAACTATTCTGTATTCTGTTTCGAAACTTAATTCTCATAATATTAAGAAAGTTCCTAAGGAACAGTTAGAGGCATAGATGTCGCAAGCTTTGGGGATATGTTGAGAATTATTATTTTCTTTTAAAAATGCAAAAACAAAACAAACAAACAAACAAACAAAAAAACCCTATCAACTTCTTGAGAGCAGTGTGTTCATACCGAGGATCAAAATTCTCAGTAGTGGAGAGATTCTGGTCAAAAGCATAATGTGGACTATCAATTTTAAACAATGGTCTCCCAGATCAGACCTTGTCTTGTGTTAAGACAGTCAAAGCGCTCCAGGAAAAAGGTTACAGGTTTGATGCCAAGAGTTCTGACTTTGATCTGAGACTTCATCCTTACTCCACTCTCTGCCTCTCAGGATTCCAACTGTATACGTTATGGCTCAGAGATTGTCAACCAAAAGCCTGTGGGCCTGTGGCTCACAGTTATGTCCTGTCCTAGCTTACTAGTGCTGCCTACATTGACTATGCTTTAAAAAGAATCTTGAATTAGTTGCCAACACTTTTAAAGCTGGAGGTTTCATCTTTCCAGAAAAAAAGAGATGAACAACAACAACAACAAAAAAGCCAACAGATTCCATGCTTCGCTTGGGAAATCAAAGCTCTAGAAACAATGGGCTCACTTTCCCAAATGGCAAGAATGGGCTGATGCTGACCACCAGTGCATGCTGCATGTTTGCCAGATGTCTCCGCAGGCTCCACGGTAGCTGTATATATATTCAATAACTAGTCTGATTCTCTCGTGTAAGTTACCTGCTGCTGTTTGTGATCCCTGCTGATGGGGACACATTCAATTCCCCACATCAGGGAGGATTCCGTCCTTTCGGCCTAGGTTATTTTCAGATGCAGAACAGGAAAGAATATGAGGATAGTCTGCCCAATCATGTTCATGTAACAGGCAAGCAGGCAGGATGACAGTCTTTAGTGCAACAGCTGAGTGTGTGCTCCACAATTCTTTTAGCGTTGTTGTGACCACAACCACGTGTATATGGTAAGAAATCATTAAGTACAGAAGTTTTTAATTTAATCAAGTCCCATTTATTATTTTTGTTGTGCTTGGTGTATTTTGTCCTTGGGATCTTCTTCATAATTCTTGCCTAGAGCAGTATCTAGAAGATGTTTTTCCAACATTTTATTCTAGAATTCTATGAGTTCAATTCTAATTTAAGTGTGGATCCATTGTCAATAATTTTGTGATGGTGGGTGATATGAATCTGTTTACAGTCTTCTACATATAGCTTCCAATTTTTCCCAGCACCATTTAGTGAAATAGGGCTCTTGTTCCCCAGTGTGATACTGCTGTCTTACTTTGTCGAAAAATCATGATGGCAACATGTCGGATGATTTATACCTGCGTTTTCTGTTCCATTCCATTTGATCTATGTCTTTATTTTGTTGCCAGCTATTTCAGTTACTATAGCCTTGTAGTAATCTTTAGCAACTTAGTAAGTCTGCTGAAAATGATGCATCCAATTTCTTCACTTTCTTAAAGGCTGCTTTGGTTATTGTGTTCCTTCTGTCATAACAAAACATAGAGTATTTTTTTTTTTTTGTTTTTTGTGTTTTTTTTTTGTAGATCTGCGATAAATGACTTTGGCATTTGATGAAATTGCATTTTAATCTCAAAATGACTTTGGGTAGTGCATAATTTTCACAGTTTGACTCTGCCATTCATAACATGATACGTTTATCCATTTGTTTACGATCGTCTGTAAATTTCATCCTCAGTGATCATAAGTCTCTTTGTAGAGATTTTTACCTCAGTTAAAATTATTCCCAGATACTTTAGCTATTGGAGAGATATTAAATCTTTTATTTTATTCTCTGCTGACTGTGTTGGTTATAAATGTTCCGACTGATGTACTATGTACATTGTATATGTGTACACTATAACATAGTTGTGCACACTGATTTTGCAACTTGAGACTTTGCTGAATTATTTATTATCCAGAGTTCTTGGTAGAATCTTTGGGTTTCCAGATAGAAGATCATATTATCAGCAAAGAGTGATAGTCTGACCTCTTCTTTCTCCATTTGGATACCCTTAGATTTCCTTCCCTTGCCTGAATTGCTCTAGCAAGGACTTCCATACACTATGTTGAACAAAAGTGGTGATAGGAGACACTTTCTTGTTCCAGTTCTGAGTAGGAATGCTTCAATGTTCCTGGTTCAGGTATGTTGGTGTGGGTTTGTTGTATATGCTTTAATTAATTTTGAGGTATGTTCCATCTATGGCCTATTTTGTTAAGAGTTTACATAAAAGGATGCTGAATTGAGTTCAAACTGCATAGTACTTCATTAAGTTTCCTCCTACTCATGTGTGACTTATTTGTGATAGTTATTCTGACTCACTTACTGTTTCCTATAGTTCCTATAGTTACTCATAAGTCTTCTTCCCACTTCTTTTTTGCTTAAAGAAACATACATGCTGCAGAATACTTGATCCTTTCATGAATTCAAAAGCACATTTTCTCTGAAATAGAGCAAACTGATATGCAGTTTTTGTGTTACGAGGTGGAAAACTCTTTTCACTCAGGGACATTGTATCTGTCCATTAGCATTTGTGTGGTAGATAGGAATTGGATAATAGTCAAATTCTCTTCCTTGTAGTAACAATTTTTTCCTTCTGTTATTTTGCATGAGTTTTCTCTTTTATTACCTGGAATTCAAAATTTTGCCATGATAGCCTTAAAGTTATTCATTAATCTTCATCCAGCCTTTAGTGAGTTCATTTAATGTGGAAGGCTTAAGACTTAGTCAGCTTAAGGGAAATCGGTAATCTATATTTCTTTCCTCCCTCACATCTGTTCTCTCTTTCTAAAACCCTCTTATAGCTATGAGATAAGCCAAGACTATCCTACATGGTCTCATCTTCTCTTTATAAACTGTCTTTTTACTTGTAGTTATGCTTAATTTTGCCAGCCTTCCAGTTAATTAATTTGGTTTCAGTAGCATCCTTCTGATATGTACTCTCCCTACCAACATGTGTACTTTTTTCCCTCCCAATCTCCTTTTTTTTTCTTTAATTTTAATTCTCTTTTTGTGTGCTTTGTTGGTAAATGCAATATCCTCTGACGTCTGATAAACACTTCTATCAGTACAATCATTACAGTTACTCTTATATTCAGCTTTAAATTCTCTCTAAACATTTGTGTGTGGCTTTGACAGGCCACATTGACCAGCAAATAGCAAAGAGTCTTTCTCATTCCCTACGTTTGACAAATGCTAATTGAGTCAATAGCAGGTCCAGACAGTTCACTAACATCTCTCTGCAAGAGTGTAGCCTTAGACACCCCTCAAGATTTCAGGCAGATAGATGGGGACCTCATGGATCTTTCAGTTTGTGGTGCACGGTTGTTTTCCTTCTTATTATTTTGATGGAGGTGGGAAAAGAAATAAATCCAAGACAAAACCTGCTTAATTGTTCAGCCTACCCCAAAATTTCTTACATTGACAGATTCTTTTATTTTTTAATTCAGCATGTATACATGTATCCAATACATGAACATTCAAAAGATTTTTTTCAATACAATGAACAAACCCTGAACATAGAATACTTAACTCTCAAACAGATGGATACCTCATGTGATAAACATGAGTAATTCAACACAAATCAAGCGAAATCATGAATGTGCTGAAATAAATATGAGCATAAGGAAACTAAATAATGTTAAATTTATTAGTTTTTATTTAGTATTTTTTATTATAATCATTTTTATTTATATTTATTGTCATTCATAGATACACAAGATTATCTGAAGCTCACAATCCTCATAAAGAATAAAAATTTAAAAAATGTTTGTAATTGATACATTTTACAAAGATGACAAGACCAGTATACTGGTTACAAATGTCAGTAGATTTAGCTTTAATCAGATAAAACATTCCAACACATCATTTACATCCAAGAACTGAACAACTATCCCAGTCTCTGCTACAAAGTGATTAAATTATTAGTTGAATTCAGTAGTATAATCTGATAAATTGATGCATGCCTATCAAAACAGCA